ATATTACAAAGTTTAAAAGAGAACAATGAAAAACTTTATTTTAGCGTTTTAATATGTTACTTATTAAATTCGCTACGTGCCGTATATCATTAAAGATAAATTGGTTGCATTCGAAATATTTCAGGTAAATTTCGTTTGAATTGAAATTGATAGCGCTATTCAACGATTATAAAAAATAAGTAACTTTGTCGAACATAAAATATGAAAGTAATTTCCTAGGTTTTTTACTTATAATTCGTGTTTTATAAAGGGATGAGTATAAACTCGTGAGGCTAAGCTATGTTTACAGCTAGAACTTCTTGGTACTAAAAATAATATAAATAGTTATTAAAATCACATAAGTTATACGATTTTCAGTGCCTGGCTGTATTAGCTTCGTAGCGCATATAACAGGCCCTTTCCCTCCACAAAACAATAATACATAAAAAAAATGCTAGGCCCTAAACTGTACGTACAGTTATATAAGCTTAAGGTTTCATAATCCGAGGGCCTAAGCTTATTTAGTTCGTGCGTAAATCCAGCCTGAGTTTTATTAGCTTAATTTTGTGAATTTATATTTAATTAAAAAAATAAAAAATATTGTAATTTTCTCGACTGTCTTAACGGTAACGTGACAGTAAATAAAACACCATTAAAATGTTTTTCGCACGATCCCAGCTAATTGTATCAAAATTTAATTAAGAAGAGAAAACAAAAAATAATAATGCAATTTATTATTATAATGATAACTTATGTGGAAAACAATTATAATTTAATAGCATTCTTAAGTGTCAGATTTCAACGTCATTTAATTTATTCGTAAAGTAAACATTTGACGTATTAAATCCTTCTGCCTTTCGCTACAAAAATGTAAATTTATATTTTTACATCGAACAGTGATTATTGAACTTAAATCATGCCCATTTGTTGATAAGGGTAAGCTGCAGGAAAGAGAAATCGCACGCAAACACTCATCCATTTATGAAAATTTTTTCTAAATTTTAAATACACTCATCCATGTTTTCCTTCTTCTGTCTCAGCATACCTCTCGAGCTTACTAACAAACTTTCTCACACTTGTCATGCTCAAAATCTTTCGCTTCTTCAAATACTCATCCACCTGCCCTAACCACATTTCCTTCGTTGCCCCGTTTCGCTTCTTTTGCACTCTTCCCAAATATTTTCTCTTCAATAATTCCTTCTTATTTATTGTCTCGACGTGTCAAAACCACCATAAAGCAGACTTTTGTATGGCATTCGGCATATAATATACTCGAGTACTGTAAGATTTTTCCTGAGATTAAAACTGTAGCTCATCGTAATTAACACTTCGTTATTTTTTAAAAATGATTTACAGGAAAATAAAACTAGATAACTGTCGTTTCCTGACTTCTTCATAATTGAATAGGCCCGTTTTAATAGGATTGGTGCAGTGGCAAAAATTGTTGTGGAAAAGTGAGAAAAACTCGTGGTAGAGACTTGTGAACCTTTTACGTAAATAGAAATTTCGTAAAAATGAAAGTGAAAAAGAAAAGTCCATTGTTTGTTATTGTGGTGTAAAGGTTATTTCGTCAATAGATTCTACCGGAAACAAAGTTTTATTTAAATTCAAAAAATAGGTAAACTCGTAGACGATCTTTCAAACACGATTACTCTTCCGCTGTTTTCTTCTCCAAAGACAATTCTAGAGACTTTCTAGATCTATATTTTCTTTCATTCTATTAATATTAATTGGTGAGATGCGACTTACAAAACGTAACTCTTCCAACAGAAAATTGCCATCGATTTTACTTTCCTGGCTCTTACTCGTATATACAAGGGGCAGTCAAAAAGCTCCCGGAATTTACCTACAGTTAGAAAATGCGATATAAGATAAGATTATGTATCGCTTTGGTAGGAAGCTAAGCGTGTCTATTCGATGTGTGATAATGCTCGTGCAAGTTTAGACTTGCACAGTCGTCTTTGTTGGGCCTAACTGCTTATTATTCGGCGCAATGTCCCAGTTCGAGCAGTGTTAAGAACATTAAGTTCGTGTTCAAATTGGGGAAAAGTGCTGCAGAGTTGCGCGATGCGGTATGGAGGAAGCAGCCCAACGAGTGGCTTGGACAATGGTTTTTCCATCACGATAACGCACCGAGTCACATGTCGCTTGTGCAGCAATTCGTCGCCGACAAAAGCATTCCTGTCATTACCCAGTCACCTTACCTTCCAGATCTTGTTCCTGTGTCTTTTGGCTGTTTCCTACTCTCAAAATGGGCCTCAAAGAGACGTTTTTCGCAAGCAGGGAGGACGACATATCGAATACGACGGCCCAACTCTCGAAGGTTCCAAAAGAAGCATTCCACACCCGCTTTCAACAGTAGCAGGATCGATGGAACAAGTAGGCTATGTTTGTGCGGGAGGGGCCTATTTTGAAGGTGATTAGGTCTCGTGCCACTACAATGCAGGATGACAATTCCGGAAACTTTTTGACTGCCCCTCGTATAACAGAGAGAAAGTATGACGATAGGTAAAAAATGGCCCCAAGATTTTTACATTTTTTGGACTTAGGACACCTCGAAACGTCCAGAAACGCAAAAAATTGGGAGGATTTTTCTGTATGTATGAGTGTTAGTTTGTATGGGGGCCACGATTTTTTTCACCTTCTTTGTAGCTTAATAACTTTTGTGCTTTTTGTCGAAAATTTTGCAAAAAGATTTGTTTATTAGAGGGATTGACGCTATTAAATTTTAATGGTTAAAAGTTGAGGGGTGGAGAGATTAGCATTTACATTTTTTTTTTTTATAAAACTCATCCCTACCCTCAAAATTAAGCTTTTTGCCATTTTATAATAGTTTAAAATATAAAAAAATTTTAAAATAAAATATGATAACAGATGGCGCCATCAAGATTTCAAATGTTGCCGTGAAAGTTAAGCAACTCGTTGCCGGTTATTTTGTTACGAATATATAAAATGTTGGAAGACATTTTGAAAACTTTCAATGGTTCAAACTCGTACAGAAACAAAGAATGAGGTAACGTAGACCTAAGAAAATTTCTGAATAACAATTAAGTTACTTATTGTTTGTGACAGAGAACATTCGGATAAATATTTGATACCAAATCACGATCGCCGTTATTGGGCCTCGTCGTGCTGTTCTGAGATCTAATCCGACTGTTTTTTTTTTAATATTTTTTTCACGTAAGTTGATGAAAGCTGGTTTGAGCATCCATCGGCGTGGTGACATAGAAGACAGAAACTGCCATCACGCTTTTATATCCACAAGCATTCTACCCGGGTTTCTCTAGAGAAATATGGAGAAGGTGGTCCTAAACTAAAACTACCGGGATGCCGGATATCTATGAGACCTCGACTGCTACTATCTCCTCGATGGATGCAGTTCTCATTTCTCGAATTTGATGGACTTTGTGTTTAACATTTCTTTTAAAGCTTATAGTAGCATTGAAATCTTGCGTGCATAAACATAGTGGCACTGACATTAAACACAGTCTGACAAGTGAGATTTAATGAATTTTTCTAATTATTTGGTTAGTTTTTTAGTTACTCTATATTAGGCAATTCAAAGATAGAAAAACCCGAAGATGTTATTGATTAGAAAATCTATACAGATCTTGTTTCGAAGAAGCCAAGTTTTCGCCGTTTTCAGCATCAGTTAATAGATTTCTAGGAGAAATTATTGTCCTGGACTAGAATAGAATTCTGATAAATGCTTTGCATCAAACAACAAAAATAAAAATAAAAAAACCAGCGAATAGAACAGTGTTTCCTTTTTCGAAAAATTAGTGACAATAAAGTATTGAAATGGGAATGCCTTTATGATAATGTATGTAATATGTTTCCAATAAAAGAGAATATTTTGATTATATTGGCAGCCTAACAAGTAAGAGACAACTCTGGAATATTTTATAAAACATAGAAGGCAATAAGGAAAAGTTCTGAGGATAGCCTACATAGCAGACAAAACCTTGAATAGAAAATTAACTGCTGTCCTAAATGACTTTAGACTGTTCATTTTCTGTTTCGAATAGTCAACAGAACTAAAATTCTCGAAGCTGCTAACGATTTGTTTATATTAGCGGACGAGACTATCCGAGCATCGGTTCATCGTCTCAATAATCCCCCAGGAATTTTTCGGAGGTGTTCCGTTCGGATATGTTGGGCTCCGTCCCTCACCACCCGGCCGCCTCATCGCCAGCCTGGCCGAACTCATAATGGGATTGCAAAAAGAGGCCTTCTTAGTGTCCACAGAGTGAAAAGAGTTAAGAAAAAAAACTTTCATACCCATGTGCTTTCATTATTTCAGTTATGTGGTAGAGCACAATGGCATATCACGCTGACTGCAATTTACAACTCTGCTGCCTTTACTTGATTATTGTCATGCCTTGGAGTTTTTTTTTTGGATCCAGTTTCTTTTTGAACTTTAATTGGCGCTTTCCTTTTATGTTTATCTGTTTTTCTTATATATATATATATATATATGATATGATAAATTACAAAATTTAGGCGTAGTATTGCGGTAATAATAATCTCCTCCCATTTGCCTCGATATTTACCACCGCTGTCATGACTTCCACTTATTAGATATCTAACAGCTGTTGATAATAAAGATTTATATAAATGACTGTGCCAGTGTGGTAATTATTCGGACTGATTTATTCACTTTAAGGCTGGATCAGTTTGCCACGAAAGAAACGTTCATTTCATCATAAAAACAATGAACGGTTTTAACTACCGATTAGGCGCAATCAAAAAAAATTAACTCTTCATTTTTTTAATGTCCAATATCACTTTTTTGTAAAATAATACTAAACAAGTTTTCTTTCGTGTCGAATCGATCTTGGCATAACACAAAAGTGGTAGTTATGGGTCACCACGATATTTATTTCAGTTATTAATATTGCATTTTTTGCGTGCAAAATTTAATGTTATTTGATGTATATAGACAACGTTTTTAAGACATCGGTAACGTTAATGTAAAGTTAGTTTTTAAAATTAAAAAAAATTAACAAAAATTTGCATACTTAACAATGTGGAGCGTAACGGCCCACTGCGATCTCTAAACTGCATTTCTACTAACGGTATCCCAAGCTGTGGCGACCACTTTTGCGTATATAATTGCCGTCAGTTTCAGTACAAAACATTATATATAGAAAGTACACTTGCAGTAAATTAGCGCAATTTAAAACAAATTCCAAAGCGAGACAAACAGCGACCGTGCAGTACACCCACATCGTTACAGTCCAAAAGAGAGACTATTAATGGCGGAGTGGGTGGCAATCAAAGATCCGAAGTCCAGCGCCGTCGCCCGCTTCTGGTGGAACTATCCTGACGGCGCCTTCGTTTTACTCTACATCACCCTAAATTGAGGAAACTCTTCGAGCTCGAACTCGAGCTCGGATAAAAAAATAAGACGAACGATTCTATGGCGCAGTAATAATCGGAACAATTCTTAATTCTTCGTTTTTAAAAATCTTAATAACTAAAATGTCTTAGGATTTTTAGACTTTTCCAGAGGTATTAATTTACATCCGATACGGAGATATTTGACGTTTTAGTTTGGTAATACCAATTTGACAAACGAGAAAAGTCTCGCCCGGTCTTTTAAATAATCATAAAATATTTCCAAAGTCTAATGAATGCAATTATTTAACCTAATTTTAATTAATTCACTCTCAACACGTGTTGTGTATCTTAGCTGAAGACAGAAAATTAAAAAAGCCATTCGCTCGTTTTCGAGCATACTTTAGTACGTAAATGATCAGTTTTAAAAATCCAATTATTTACAAATATATCGTTTTGAAGGTTCGAATGAAACATTTTTTTGAGTACTGGGCTGCACGTGCATTAGGTTACAAATCGTTTCAATTTTCAAAAAATGTCTGCGCGATGTCTTACACCAGAGGTGGCGAACCTATGGCACGTCGAAGAAATCATCAGGCACGTAACGTATAATACGATATCGGTTTATTATCTTTTTCAATCGGGTTCTTTACGTTTACTCTAATTGCAGCATATTATTTTATTTATTTAAATATAGTTTTTTAAAACTCTTTTCGCCCCGTGGGTACTAAGAGGGCTTTTTTATTTAGCTAACTCCAAACGGAACAGCCGGATGGTGAAGAATGGATCACCACCCGAAAATTTTCTGGGGTTTAGATCTCGGGTCCGCGACAGCGATAAGCTGCCGCTTTGACCGTTCGGCCATTCCGCCAAATTTAAATATAGTTACTCCAAATCTAAAACTTCTGCGCGCGTAATCATTTTTAAAGCAAAGTATGCTTAATACGCTTGCTATGTGGCACGCGGACTCAAAAAGGTTCGTCGTCCCCGTCTTACACAAACGTAGCTGATTAAATATTCGCTCGACAGATGCATTGGAAGCTGGTAATATCATCAATAAACTCAACAATTTTTCAAGATTTCGAAACAAACTGTCCAGCAGCATTTTTTAAATTAAATATTTCCGACCACTAGGATCTGAAAGTATGATTTTTTGACCCCGAGTTAAGTAGGGCTTGTTTACGTCATTCGTTGTCTACAACTCGTAAATCGACACTAACATTTTTAAACATTTTAAACAATGGCTCCAAAAACCTCGCTGTTAAATTTTGCGAATTTTCGGGTTCGAGCGAAAGCGGATATGAAAAAATGTCATTACTGAAATCAAATCTGGCATAGATTTCTTTTACGAGTGTATACAATAAAAAATTTTACAATAAAAGCATCGGATCGCAGGCCAGATTTACCCTAAATATAAGACTACCCTAAATAGTACCCCGAGAGGGTCAAATTATCCTAAAAACGGCAGCGCTGCTAAAGTCTAACTACGAATTGAGTCTAGTGACTGCAATGTTGCGCGTCGTTCCTGCCGGAGGCCGAACTGTTTCCGGATGTAACTAATCAAAATATTTCTCTTAAAAAAATATTTAGAAAAAGGAGAAATGTAATTTTGTACAAAAAATTTCAGCCTGTAAAAAGCCAGGAAAAGACCAAGAGGCCAAAGGAAATTTCTGAGGCCAACCGAGTTTGAAAAAGGCCAAATTGGCAACGCAGTACCGGATCCTTGTTTGAGCGTTTTCCGGCCATCGTCGAGCCCACTCGAATAATTGAAATCGTTGTGGAATATTTATATTTTGCTTATATTTATATTTTTTTATTTTGAAAGACAATATATAAAAAAATTCCGAAATAATAAATTTTGTCGGCCGGAAAATATTTTTATTTCCAATTTTGTTCGTAAGAGGGAGTCGAAGCTCAGAAGCTAACGACGAAATGGAAGGAAATCCAGAGAAGGTAAATTCATTTATTTTGAAAGCAATAAATTAAAGAAGTAAATATCTATTCAAAACGTGTCTTAGGAGTATGCCTTGCGACCTGTCCGATTATCGATTTATAAGAAATATCTTTGCAGTTTTTTAAGACAAAATGTTTTCCTTTAAGTAATTACAAAAGTTTATCCTCATTACTTTGTTGCAATTTCTGTACATTCCACAAAACATTTTTACTTTCTTGTAGAAATCCAAATAAATATTAATTCAAAGATCACAATTGTATAAAACGTGTTTTAAATAAATAAATCTTTTCCTTCTTCTCAATGCTTTTCTTTTTTCGTTTTTAAAGAAATTTTAAACTATACCTTACGTATGAGCCCTGCTCGGTTTCTATGTATGTTCTCCAATTATCTGAGCTAAAGCTGTGTCGACCGCGTCGCGTTTGTTACCTTCTTACGGACTGTAACGGTTTCTGTAACGTTTTCGTGAATGGAGGCGCGTGCGGTTTCGGCCGTAACGTACCGCTTTGCCTGGCATTTCCACCGACCGCTTTCTCTGGTGGTGTTGGCGATAACTGCTTAAAATTACTCGTATTGCGAGGAAAAGCTTTTTGAAGAAGCGTCGGAGGACGACGGAACGGACTGACGACGTCTGCGAGTGACCGATTTCGTGGCGCGTCCGTTGCTCCGAGGATCTTTTGGCCTTTCCGGATCGAGCGGTGACGGCGTGTTGCTTGCCATGTTGTAGCGTTGATTTGGATCGAAGCTACCTTGGATAGATGGAAATTTGATTAAAATGGATGGCTGCGGCCAATTAGATTAAAAGAAAATCGCGATGTTTCTTTTCCTGCTCGTTGTCCGAATCGAAAAGAAGATTCATATAAAGATTTATTAAAGATGTATTGATACGTTGGTAGATGCACCCGACTCCGGTAACAAACTAACGGTATCCGAATAGACGGGAGACGAGCGACTCTCGCCTGCGCTTCGGCATTTGTCGGCTCGGACTCTGCTGCGTCCCGAACTTAGCTAGTTTGGCGAGTTTAGTCGGGGGAGACGACTCTAAAAGACGAGGCCGGAAGCGACGGCATATGCGGAAGAATGTATCGATTGTGTCGAGACCGGGACGAGAGTAGCCGACGTATAACGTACGTGAACTTTGAATTTGGTTTTCGAATTGGTTTGGAAGCTGTATAAAAGGTCTCGTACGAAAATCTGTATCGTAAAAGTGTTGTGTTAATGGATTCCGCATTGTTAGAGCAGTTGGAAGAGCGGTGTCGCTATGATCTGAAGATCTGAAAAAGTAAATAAAGTATGTTTTGGAGTTTGTAACTGCTGGCAAAATATGGATCTATCAATTTATAACTTGATACATCTGAAACAATATCTTGGCATATAACAGTAAGAACAAAATTCATGTAGTATATTTATTAAAGTATCATTTGTTTAATTGATAAAGCAATACAGTAGATCCCCCTATAAGACGGTAGATACGTTCCGTTCTTTATGAATCAATTTTGTAGGAATCATAGTTTACGGACTACGGCTGTTTGAAAGGTTTTCTTTCATAAAATTAATCGATTCTAGACTAATTCGACTCAACATTCCCAAAATACGTATATTTTTTTGAAAATAATCCGTATAAACTACGTTATAAACAAAAAATTGTAGGATTACTTACCGAGTGTGTACCCTTTGACTACGCTCGTTGCTAAAGCTTGGTTTCGTCGCGGAACAGCGCATCAAATTGCGGCCGCGATTTCTGATATTATTTTTCTGCGAAAACTTCGTTGACCTTTGGAGACATCATTAATATAAATAATTTTTATGGCCGTTAAATAAGAAATGTTTCTTTCACAAGAAATGTATAAAATTACAGTACTAAACAGACGATAGGTCGCCTAACTCGCCGTAGCGTGACGCTAGACGGCGAAAAATATATATTTAATTATAATAAAGTTACAATAAATTAAGTTAATATATAATTATATATACAGTACCTAATTTATATATAATTAATATATAATTATATGTACAGTACCTAATTTATATATAATTATATGAACAGACGATACTAAACTCAATTTATCCGCCTAAACGTCCGTAGCGTGGCGCTATGGACGGCGGGAAAGTAGTTCGGCTGCCCGATGACGTTTTACATATTATAGGAGTTATTTTTACCGTTGTTTACGGATACTGCCACAATTTTTATAGGAATCATAACTATAGGAAACGGTTTTATAGAAAGATCTACTGTATATACAGAACTACTAAAATTAACCAAATAGTTGATTATAAGTTAAATAGTTCAGTTTATAATGAAAACAGATAACAAATTCAGTTAAGTGGCACCTTACATAAAGATCAGAGTTTCTAATGCTTCAAAGTCCAAATCCTGAGATCTAAGACATTTCTTTGTTTTCTGTATACCACTAGGATCTTAGACATTGCAACTGATAACACCTCGATGGCTTTAACAGTATTAGCTTCATATCTATATACAGAAGGTTGATTATATTCCATAATGCCGATTTGTATATTACCCATAGTTCCAGTTGTAGGAAGTAGAATAAAAGCAACTGGCCCACGTGCTGCTGTAGATTCTGAGTTTTACTTTCAATAAGTAAGGTTTATCTATCACAAATATGCCACCTAAAATTTCAGACTTTTGGGCAGGTTATGTAACTACTCTTTCCAAAGCAAACTATTTGCAAACTCAAATTATTAAAATGTGCAAATCGTGGTTTTAACGTTTTGCAATATGGGATACAGTCGGTTCTCAAAAGAAATGATTCGCAAGAGTCAGGACTGTCGTCAAGTATTTCAGTTCGGCCCAGAAAAAGAAACGTTCCAAGCTGCACATCGGAGATGATAGCAAAAGTGTGACGACTGATCAGTGGTTCAAATCAAAAAACCCAACAAAGAATTGCCCCAAGTGTTGGAATAGCCCAGTCCACAGTTCATGCCATCATTTGCAAGAATTTGAAACTGGAGAAACACCATAAAGGTCGAGTTCACAAGCTGCTGTCTCATCACATCCAAGAACAAAAGACCAACTGCCGAAAACTGTATGAAAAGTATATTTCGGTAAACAAGTGGCAGTTTCTAGTCATGCTAGATGAAGCATGGATGTACATGAACAATTGTAACAAATTGCGGGCAATTTACTACAGACCATCAGATGGGAGACCATACCAAAAATGGTTCAAGAATGTCACAAAAACTTACCATCAGGCTTTATGGTCATTGCGAGTTATTGTTATCGTGGTAAACTAAACATCAGAAAAGTTGAAAAAAACGTTAAAATTAATTTGATGTCAGGTAACCCCAAATAACACAGGAGTTACGTTCCAAAAAATTGCCATGTTATGCGAATCCGTGTTATACGAAACAAAGAACTAGTGCAAAAAGGGGGGTTAGGTTCGAAAAATTAAAAAACATGCTGTTAAATCCTTATTTAAATTGGATTTATTATTCATTTTCTTTCATAAGTAATACTTATTTATTATTTAAGTAAATATTTTATCAGAGGATTATTCATCCTATATGATGGTCTCAGCATGAGCATCATCAACTGGTAACAGTTTTTGGGTGCATTCGTTAATAATGGTAGCTCTGTAATGGGAGTGCACTGCTGTTTGTAGGCATTTAGGAATGACGGTGAAAGAAAGATGGCGGCGCTCGCACTATTGATAGTATCATGATGGAGAAAGCTATAATTCTAAAATGAGCTTTTAGAGGCAAAAGAAGGGTCCCAATTGTAAAATTTAACCATTAAATGGATTATTTGTTGAAAGAGCATTCAAAGTAGCCACAAAAACAAGTAGAATGCTCACGCGGAGTTACGTGGAGGTATAAAAAAAACGCACCCTTTATTACATTTCATGTTGTACAATGATTTTACCCAATTCCCAAATCGTGTTAGAGTGAATCCGTGCTGTGCTATAGAAGTGTCGTTTTATATGGGGGTTACCTGTTCTACCAGACTAATGTTCTGGAACCTCTGTACTGTGAAGAGATCCCTACTTTGTATGGAAATGACCAAACAAATGTACAGGTGCATCAAGACAAAGCTTCCAGTCATACCTTCAAATCGACCCAAGATTTCATCCATGTATTGGAACAGGAAATGGGAATTCATATCATCCCTTTTGATGGCATTCCTGTGAAGTCATTCAATGCGATGCCAGTGGACTACTGTGCGTTTAGTCTATTGAAATGAGCTCTTGGAAGCCATTGTTCAAAAACAATGGCAGGCTTATGTAAAGAGGAATGGGACCATTTGGACATGAATGTTTTTCAAAGAAATCTTCTACAGTGGAAACTTTGATGTAGGGCTATAGTTCACAACATGGCCATCAGATCGAACTTAATCAATACTGGCGCCATGGCATTTAGGTTACTTTATAGGTCTCTAAATTCGGCATTATGTAATGCCTCTGTATCCAACCCTCTGTATATGATCTCTTCTTGATTCCCAAAGGGTTTTACATTTTTGCAGAAACCAGAAGGCTTTGCTAAGTCTTATGTGTGTTTGTTTTTCATTACATCTTTTCCATCTTGTATTGTAAACAAAAGAGTATTATCTGGATAGTGTGACATTGTTTTCTTTCCCATATTTTTGAGTAACCATATAACAAATTTCCATTGAATTCTTTACTGAGAATGTCTTTAATTGGTGTACTTAAACAACTTTCCTTGAAAATGTCAATACTTGTTCTTTTTATCAGTTTTTTTAACTACAATTTTATAACTGAAAAATTTTTATATTTCAAAACATGCATTATTTTATTTTTTTACATAATCAGCAATATTTTAATTCAGACTAATGCTGTAGCCAGCATAAGTTTCAACTTTGTATCCATGTGAATATGACACAAAACCACTTATTTTGAAAAAAAAATTCAAACTTAATTAAATCACATATTTGCTCAAATTGATATATTATATGAAGTTTTTTTATTGCTAAGATGGGTTCAAGTAATTGCCAAAAATTTTGTGGATGCAATGTTTCTACATGGAT